CGGGGAGAACATGCAAACTCCACACAGAAAGACCTGATGGTGGAATTGAACTCAGGACCTTCTTGCTGTGCGGCAACAGTGCTAACCACCGTGCCGCCTGTCATTATTTGTTTCAGATAGCAAAAAATAAATACATAATTAAATATCTGAACACTGTCTGGATGGTTACAAAGTTCTGATGCTTGTAACGACTGCTGTGAAGACTGTCTCAGCAGGCAGGCAGAGATGACTAAACTGGGACAGGCGAGATGCTATTTTACAGCAAAGCTTAAGAATGCACTTGATTTACTTCTGAATGACTGTTACAAGACTTAACAATGGAGCAACTGGGGTCAAGCGAAGGAACAGTGCTTGTCCGGTTCTCTCCCGTGCACGAGAAACATGAAGAACTTTGCCTACTCGTGTCTTGTTTTGCTGTGTAATTATATTGTCTTCAACGTTCCAGCGAATAGGTTTATGTTACAAACCTATCAGTGAGTGTGAGGAGCCATCTGTGAAACACAGTGGAGCTTCTGTCAAGGTTTGGTGCAGCGCTTCAGGCAGTGGTAATGGCGAGCTTGTCAAAATTGAACAAGTTCTATGTTCACTGAATTATAAACATAGAAAAGTACAGTGAGATTCTGATCCACCAGTACCATCAAATCCAGGTCAAACAGATTGATCTGGATTTAAAACAAAGTTGAACACACGTGTGGGCAGTCGGCCTTTGCAGAGCCTGAATCTCAACATTATTGGAGCAGTGTGGGGTTATCTTGACAGAGAACAGAACAAAAGGCAGGCAAGATTCAAGGAAGAGCTTTGGACCATCGCGCTAGAAGCCTGGAGTCTGAGTCAGACTGCAGCAGCTCGGGGACGGAATCCTAACACACAAAACAGTCAGCAGCTAACTGTTCAGACACTGATACAAGTGGAAGGCTACTTCAAAAATACATTGCACTGAATTATAAAAGCACCTTTGTCTGAGAAAATGTTCTCTAACTGGACCTCCTTAAAAATTTCCTTGCATATCCACGTAGAGCAATCCACCATTACATTTAGCTGTGGTTTTTCTATAAAGTCAGCTTCAAAGACGGAAACAAGCCACATTTAACAGATGAAAATGCAGCATGGTTAGGCCAGCCAGCAAGCACCCCTTCACTCCCTGATAAAATACCTTCTCTGAACTCCATCTTATTTCGGGGTGATCGTGGCTCAAGAGCTGGCAATTCGTCTTGTAATCAGAAGGTTGCCGGTTCGAGCCCCGGCTCCGACAGTCTCAGTCGTTGTGTCCTTGGGCAAGACACTTCACCCGTTGCCTACTGGTGGGGGTCAGAGGGCCCGGTGGCGCCGGTGTCCGGCACCCTTGCCTCTGTCAGTGCGCCCCAGCGTGGCTGTGGCTACAATGTAGCTGCCATCATGTGTGTGTGAATGTCTGGATGACTGAATGTGTAAAGCGCTTTGGGGTCCTTAGGGACTAAGTAAAGCGCTATACAAATACAGACCATTTACCATTTATTTCTGCCATCTACCAGTTCCCCAACCCCCACCAGTTAGTGAACCATCTGCCAGGTTGCACTACAGTCACAATTAAGATAAATCAACTGCAAGGCTATGGAGCAGAGACTGTAACATCATGTTAGACATCCTACAAAACACCTCAGAGGTGTTTTGCAGGATGGACACATCCTCTACATCTGTTCAAACCCCAACACACAAAGTGTGATTTTAAGAGGCTAATCTGTAGTTCAGTCCGTTTGATG